CAGGAATTAGAAAACATGGGTTTGCAAAGGATTTCAGTTTCGGTGGAAATGGGATGCTGTTTTGAACTGCTGAGCCAAAAAGAGGATCCAGGGAGATCTCACTTCTGAGACTTTTTACCTGCCTCATTTTTATGAGCTACCGGAAGTTTTCAGGATCAAAATATAAGTGAAAAGAACTACTTCCATTTTAACTATGTACTACAAACTTTGTCTTTTTTTTTCCTTAACTGCTTCTTTTCTTCAGATGGGTATTCTACACTATTTGGAAGAAACAAACTGACGTCTGAACATCAAGATTATTTGAGATTATCCTAAATGTACATGCTGCATGGAGCATATAGGCCTGCCACATGCTGCATATTGGCATCTTGAACCTTTAAATTATATGCTGTAGATGATCCTGAAACTTAGTCATGCTATTGATTGTGAATTCTTTAAATGTTTTTTATTATTATTTTAATTTAAAAGGAAATGGAAAATGTATATTTTGATGAGCTAGGGTGTTATTTTTGAAAGTCAACTTAAAGATGAATAAGCAGCAAAACTATATAGCTGCTGAATGCACTGAACCTTTAGAATGTGATCCTTTTTATTTTTTGTAGATCTTCACAAACTGATTGATTAAAAAAAGACATGTTTAGCATTTCATCCCTAAAGGGTGGTCCATGGAGTTTGTTTTGGGTGTTTTTTGTTTTTCCAACAGATTTTCTGTGGTGCTTTTTAAGGATGGAGGGTTTTTTGTTTGATTTTTTTTTTTAAATGAACACCGCAGTGCTTCCATATAGAAAAAAAGGGCATAACTATTAAAAAAAAAAAAGGAAAAAAATAAGGAAAAAAATCTTCTGAAAGGATACCCTAAATCCTTCATTGCAAAGGGAAGAAAGCTAGTCATCTTAAACTTTATTTACTCTAGTTTCATTCACCGTTGCTGTAATCTCTTCTGCAGGAGAAGAATCTTTAACCTTTCACCTCATGGAATTCTTTAGCTGCTGCCGTATTGATTATTGGGATTTTGATACAGATTTAACAGTAGGTTATATAGCTCTATCAGCATGAAAATTAAAACTGGTTTTCCATCCCACCACAGTGCAAGAAATGGAGTGTAATGAGGTTCTTGAGGGCATACACTCCTCAACCTTATGGGAAGCACTAGGTTCTTGAAGAAGGAAGGGTCCCTTTAGAGGGCAAAGAAATGTGGGTGTGATCCAGATTCATGTGCACCAGTGTTGAATGTTTTGAGGCAAGTATGTATACTTCGGTGGGGTAAGTCCTGGTCTTATTGCTGCAGATTGACCATGTTGTGCGGGGCTCTTGCTGAATTAGGTTCACTTGCAGTTTAAAAATCAGTGGAAGCTAGGTTACATTGTAGTTTTGTTCTGAAAGATAAAAGCATTTTTCTTTAACTGTTTCTCATGTTGTCTGAAAAGTTATATTTTTGTAAGAATGTGCTATGTACTGACTAAAACTTTGCTTTCAGTGTTTAATAGATCCCACTTGAAAGGAGGTAGGAAGGATATAACCCTTCTGTGCTTTTCTGTACATTTCCAAGATAGAATAAAAAGTGCACTATTTCCCTAAATACTCTAATCTTGAACCATAATGATGTTTTTTCCTTCAACACCTGATATGAACATTTTCTTAGTTTTATTGGAGGGAGTTGATTTCCTCCCTCTCCCCCCTCAAGATACTGTTAATGAAAATAAACCAAACAAAAAAAAAAAACTTCTAATATCTGTATTCTTAAATACTACATAGAGAAGAATTTTACTGCGTCCCACATACATAAACTGTTCATGAAATCTGAGTAGCCTATGTAGAATTCCAGAGTGATACTGGAAAACTTCCAAAAAATTTTCTCTTCATTTGGTATATAATTATTTTTGTATTATACAGTTGTGCTGTTAAAATGCTTTCAGTTTGGAGAGCCAATAGAAGTATTCTTCAGTCTTAACTGTTCTCAATTATTGCAGTTAATGTTAATTCTTTAATATACATGGGGCACAGTTCTTCCATGGCCTACAGTCTGTGCATCCCTAAATACTCCCAAAGAGCAGAGCCTCCCTCTAAGCAGGAGATAAGTGTCTTGCATTTCCCCGAGTGTTTTAGCTCTATTGTATACATCCCAGAAAATACCTTTATTATTGCCTATGGCCTAGTAGTAACCCTTCATTTATGATCCAGTATATTGTATAGCTGCAAATGAATGCAGATGTCCTATAAACAGTTAACGTGTATCCTTAACTTTGCGAGCATGAATATTCCCTTTGATGGTTAGCGTGATTACTCATGTAGGTGAAATTAAGCACACAGGCATTCACTGGGACAGGGCTTACAGCATATATGTTCCTGAGTGAGCTTGATAGATGTAGAAATCAGTCACAACAAGTGGGGGTGGTTGTTTTTTAGCGAAGAAACTTGTGAACTGGAAGATGACTTAATATGCTTGCTGTACGAAGGCTAGCACTTTTCTTTAGCATCGCTGCACAAAGCTGCCTGAGCACAGAGATGTTGGGTGTGCAGGGATATTCTGTAATCAGTTCCTGAAATGACCAGGGGACCTGAATTATATATTGATAGGTGAGAGGCAGCAGTGCTTGAAATCTTTCCTTTTCAACTGGTACAGTATAGAGTTGGAGGAATTATTTTTTTCTTTAAACTTTTTTAACGTAGGTTTTTTTTAAAGTGATAGATGCAGTATAAAGCAATTCGGCAAATGCTGAACATTATATTTTTTTAAGTTGCTGAATTGATTCTGAGCAAATACATACACAGTCAGTCTTTATTTATTTGTTGCTGTAGTGTAGATTTCTTAAAAAGGAAAACAAGTCTCTTTGTGTTAGAATTTTCAAACGCACACTGCTATAGCTGATCAGTTTTCCATGTTTAAGGACAGTTGGGAAATAGCTATGATTGCTGCACTATGTATGCGAACAGTTCCCAAGATATGGTTAACATTAGGGTTTGCTTAATTATTCTTTGCACTAAACGCTGCTTCCACCTAGAAATGTGATTTAAATATTTTAAAACTTGATTGATAGTAGTTTGTGCAAAGAGAAGACTGCTGGCGTTGTATCTACTGCATCAGTGCAGTGCACGTGTTACAATAAAGGTACGCTATTATTACTTGTGTGTTTGAATTGTTAAATACATTGGGGATTCAGTGTTAAAATGACAGAATTGATGGGTACGATGCTTACCATTGTACCTCTCTTTTTTTCTTTTCCTTGTCACCTAACACACAGGAAGGTACTTAATGCTCCCTTTTCTTGTGTATCTTTTCTGTCTCTCTGATAAATTCAGTTATTTTCCGTATAATATATGCTGAGATAAGATACTCTGTAGTATGGAACAGCATATTGATGTTTGCAGTGGGGAGGATCGCTTGAGGCTTCAGTGATCTTTGCCTAGAAAGAGTTAATTTTCTGTAGAGAACTGTAGATGTGAGTTCTTTGGAGATCTATAAGTGTAAGTTTTTTAGTTTTTCTGCTGAAGTGGCAAGTTGGCTTTGGGTGGCAGTGTGACTCATTGTGTGGCATAGAGAAAAGATAGGCTTAGGAGAAATAAGTGAGACATTAAGAATGATGCAAGCTTTGGCACAGACGTTTAAGGAAGAGGGAGAAGGGCATGAGCAGGCTGAGGACATTGAAGAAGTTACTCTGGGGTGTGATTCAGAAAGATTAATGATGTCAGACAACGTGTAACTTCTAAAAGAGATTGTGGAGAGATTTATATAAATTCCAGCTAACTGGAAAGGAGAAGTGTTTACATCTGTCCTATGTATAGTGATAGCAAAGGGCTTGGTAGTTGGGAAAAAGAAGGGGGAAGGCTTAACTTTGGGGGAGGAGGGGGGAAAGTCTCATGTACGGACTTTGAGGGTAGGATAAAGAGTAATTTTAGAGCGCCTACATCCATCGCAGGGAAGGTAGGTATCTCTTGCTTTTTTATTTTCACTGTGTAGAGTTTGAGGCGTTGACAGCTTGCTGGAAGGAACAAGGTGAGGGGACAAGTGAAAAGAAGAGTACTCAATTTCTTATTTTAATTTAGGAATAGGAGACTGCAGATGATGTTGCCTGAGGGGTAACATGAGGCAGCTGACAAACCTTGTCCACAGAGAAAAAAGGAGTAGTTGGAATCATTAAAGGAGATGCTGAAGGAGCAAGTGAGAGAACTAGCAAAGGAAGTAAGTGCAGGAGTGATTAATAATAGCATTGAGCAACATAGAAGTGCCTTTTTGAAATGTGGGATGCTTTAGGAAGCAAGGAGTTAGAAATGTGGAATGGGAATGGTGGAAGGATGTGAAGAAGTTTGTAGAGTGGTCATCCATTTTAGTGAACTTGAGCTTCAGAGGTAGAAATGGAGAAAGTAGAAAGAAAGGAAAGAAGAGGGTGAAATGTATTCCATAACTGGAAGCATGATGACAAGTACTCCTGGGCAGTGTCAAGGGAAGAAAGGATGCAGGAGCAAGAGCAGTTAAGATGGGAAGGAACTGGGGGAATGAGCCAGGAAGGAAGAACCAGAAACAGGAGAGCACAGCAGATGTGGTGGGGATTTGGGGAGCACCTCTGAACATACCAAAAAAGGAGTGCCCGTTGCACTGCCTAGCTTGTCCTCTGTAGGTATCAGAGGGAGAAGGAAGAGAGATTGGCAATGGTTTTTTTTGACTGAGTAATGATTGCAAGGTGGCTCCTAAGTATTTTAGGAGAAAAAGAACTTAACTGCTGGAAATGAAACGATGACCAAAAGGAAACTATTCATATTAAGGAGTGCTTAGGGTAGACAAATTACCCAAGCAAATAAATACAAACTTCATGAAGCCCACAGGAAAGGGAACTGTGGGATTTAACTGTCACGGGTTGTCACTGTGAGCATGGAAGGGTGGAGGGCAGAAGCATACCAGTGGCATCTCTGCTGTCTTCAGCTCCTGGAATTGCGAAAACTGATCAGAACTGGCAAATGTATGAAAACAAACAAACAAAAAAAAAAACCATACTGCTACAGCCATTGTAGGTTTTTCATCTGACTTCAAAGTGCCACGACAACTTCATTGTATGTTACTTGAAGATAATAAGTTTCACGACCTCAGCGATGAATGCACAACACATTGTGTGCCATATTGCCTGTGCAGCACTATTGGTACGATTTACTTTGAAAGACTCAAAGACAAAACTGTTTTATTGGTGTATAATGGAAACATCTTAGCGTGAGTAGTCTTTGTATATACAAAGACAAGCAGCAATGGAATTTTAAAACAATAGTTGTGGTAGATGAGAATAGCAAAGGTGAGTATATACAGCTATGTGAAGCTTTTTTTTTGTTCTGGTAGCTGCTAATGTTACCTAACACTTCCCTATTTAACTTTTCTTTAGTAAAAATGTTTCTACTACCATTAAAAAATTCTTACCGTGTATATAAGTTAGATACTAGGGAAAGGGAAGATACCTGCTCACAGTTTCTGGAGCTGGTTTTGAGGCAGCCAGGTACCTGAAGTTATAGTCAAGATGCACTTCAAATCTACTTCTTTGGGATCTTGACCTTCTACTTAGTGAAGCCCCGTGTGCCTTAACCTCTGTGGTGGCTGGGATCAGATGCCACACCTCTGGCTATTTGAAATGAAGAAATGGTTGAGTGTGCCTAAGACTGCAGCAGATACCAGGCAGTGTTAAGGAAAGCAAAGGCAGTCTGTCTGGCCTCTACATGCTGACACGTGAACAGAGCAAGTTACACCAAAACCACGGAGTGTGGGTAGCTTGCAGTAACACGTAGCTAACGTGCGTGTGCTCTGCTGCTCGGGAACTGCACCCAGCAGATACTTGTGCCTC